AAATGCTATGAAAATACTTAATGATACATTATAATCCAAGTAAAAAATACTTTTTAGAAATATTTATTTATATTTATCATATATATTACATACAATATTTGGTGTCTATATTTTAATAATATTTCGAATAAAGCTTTATATAAAATATGTATGAAATATCTATATAACATTGCAAAAAAAATGAATATTAATAAATATTTTCATAAATATTCTGTGCTGTTGGGTAGTTATATATATATATATATGTCCATACATATAAGATATTTAACATTTTTTTCCCACTTATAGATCCAACCAATCACATTCAATACTCGTTGAGCAGGCTAGCAGTTTTGTCCGGTCGAACGCGCGCATTGATATCTAAACTTGGACGATCGCTTTGCCGGTGTTATCACCATGCAACATGCCGATAAAGGCATCAAACATATTCTCGAACCCTTTAGTTACGGTCTCACGGTAATGAAGTTTGCCCTCGCGTATCCATTGCAGATTCTGCATGATTCCTTCATTCCATCGATTCAACCAACGTCTAGCAATAAAGCCCTCCATCTTCAGTTGGTTTAGCAATATAGCAGGTTGCAGAATTGTAGATTTAGGCAAGGACTTGGTGTCCGCATTGTAGCTCGAGATACTGCCGCATAGGGCTACACGACCAAACAGATTCATTTGATATATGACTGTACCAGCGATATCTCCACCGACCTGTAAAGTCAATAAACGTTAAAGAGGAGGGTCACAGGGCTGTTTTGCGTTCCCTACGGATTTCCATTGAACAATTTTTCTTGTATTGTATGATCATTAGGAATGTATCAAAAATAATCATATGTGAGAAAAAACTTGATCCATAAAGTAAACCGATTCAGTACAAATTTTTTGTGGAAGTAAAATATCAAATATTTCAAATAAATAATCTAAAATTTACGAACTAAAACACGATTTAATCAGATAGAGTTTTTTCCTATTTGATTTTATCGGATTATTTAAACAGAGTAATAGAAATTAATCGTTGATAGTTGTATTAACTGACTATGATATAACACAAAAATTTTGAAAGTTACAGCATACGATGACCATCTTTGATTATATTGAAAAAATCCCGTTTAATAAAAAATACACGATATTTTATAAATACGTACATTATCGAAGTAGCAATCCACGCCTTGCGGAGCAACTTCGCGTAACTTGGCCGCGACTGGCATGGTCTTGTAATTGATGGCAAAATCGAAACCCATTTCCTCAGTAAGCCACTTGCATTTCTCGTCGGAGCCGCATATACCGATAACATTTAAGCCCAGAATTTTGGCGATCTGGCCCACGTGTGAGCCGACCGCACCTGCGGCTCCACTGATGACGATTGTTTCGCCAGATTTCGGTTTACATATCTCCAACAAACCGAAATACGCAGTGTTACTGTAAACAAGAATGAGAGAAAGAAAACTTTTTCTTTTTCTTTCTCTTTCTCTTTTTCTTTCGCTCATATTTAATTAAATATAAAAACATATAAATTCTAAATATAAGCCGTCCTATTCGTTGATTAAAAAATCTTGTCACGCATATGACTGTGCACGATAATACATATAATTTACAGCAGCAGTGTTTTTTTTAGTATTTGTGATCACGAAATACACACACAAACCTATGAATTTTATATCTTTACATTTTTTTAATATCTTTTCCTCGTTATTCATATCAGAAATAAATATACTTATTTGTTTCATAAAAAATTAAATTTTTGTTTCGAACGGAAATCTCTGATTAATGTTAGTGTTGGTTTACAAAACTATTACATCTACACAAAGCTTAAAGTTTAAATACAAGTCATCGTTGCAGCAAATATGTTTTGTAACGTCTTTTAAATTTTACTCATTTCGTGAAATGATGACAAATTTATGTCATTGTAAAGTAATCGAGTAAATATTTTGACGAAATCTTTACCCAGGCATTCCCAGCATGCCAAGACCAAGAGACGAAGGTAAGTCACCTATGTCTGGTAAAAGGTACGGTTTTTGTTCGGAAAACGATTGGTGTATATTTGGATTGAGAATTGTATGAGTTCTCCAGCCCAAATATCCGACTATCCTCTTGCCGACCGGAAAATCCGGGTTCTTAGATTCTATAATCTTGGCTACCTGACCGCCAATCATTGTAATCCCGAGTGGCAAATTTTGCACGTAAATTCTCATATATGGGTCGACAGAAAAGAATTCAGCTTCAACGAGATATTCTAAAAAAAAGATATATATATATGTAATATCACTTCATAATTCATTATATGATAAATTTAATATCGATAATTAAGAGAGATATCACTATTGATTTTATAATTTAATTATTGATATCTCAAAGTGAAGAAAAAATTATAAATTTGTAATGTCGTACTATTTGTCTCGTTTTTATTTTTTAGGTGCTAATAATCCTTTCTTGATTTATACTGTAGCATTGATAAAGCGCATGACATTAATATTTCGAAACTTAAATTATTGATTTAACGTAAATAATAAATATATTTCAATTTATGATTTTTCGTACGTCCGAACTATTTACATATTTTACATAAATAATTACAGTTCAGAAAGTCGCATATTACAAAGGAAAATTTAAAAAAAAAATAAAGTCGATTCTCTAACAAGCTTCTTTGTATTTTTATTAAATTATCTATCATGGATTAGTTAATAGTGCTATAATCTGATGCCAAAATAATCCGTTTATACTTACAGACAAATTAAAATATTGATTTTCATGGAAATTGAATGAATTTTGGACCACCTGATCGTTGAAATAAATATATATTTTCAATAATTTTCATAAGTTTTTTATTTATTCTATATAACCGCCGCTTGGAGTAGCCGCTTTGAATTTTCAAAAACGCCACGTTTTTCCTTAAACCACATATAAAAACGAAAATTTTAAGCCCTCAAACGTCTTATTTCGACTTCACAAATTTTGCCCAGACACTTATCCCCGTTGACGTGGAACATTCCATATATATTGAATATCTCATCTATTGTCAACACAGACATTTAACCCAGTAAATGAGAATGGATTAAAATGATTTGAAATTTTATCTATTATTCAAATGAGTATTTTTAATTAAAAAACACTTTTTATTAAATTGAATTTAATTGGATTCAGTTGGATTCAATTGGATTCAACTGGCTTCAATTGAATTCATTTTCTATTTAGATTTTTTAATTGAGCAATATTTACAATACGCTTAAAATGTGTTTCATGCAATGCTTATAAATAAATAAAAGTAGGGATTGAAAATGATTCATTTCGACGTTCGCGAATGCGTCTGAAAATTTGAATCCATTTCAATCAGTTTCAATTCTTCCTTGTTTACTAGGAAACCAATTGATAAAATAGATAGCACATAATAAAAAATTAAAAATACTTGAATAAGATCTAATCTTGGATAAGAAACTGTAAATTCATACTTCGTTACGTACTGATAAAGTTGTGAAGGATTTATAAGAATTTGATAACAAATGCAATTTATTATTTAATAATACAATTTATTATATAATATTAAATAATAAATTGTATTATTTAATAAGAATAATTAAGAATTCCTAATTTATTTTAAACAAATTGATGAATTTGTATTATAATATAAAGTTTTTTAGGCTTTCACGGGTATTATCTTCAAAGATACTAGAAGATTTGCGGCGAGTAATCGCCGTGTTTTCATCTATTGCTAATTTTATTATAATATAGTTATAGGTGTGTGTTATGTTATTTTTTAGTTTATCAACTGGATTATAACGAACGAATCCTTACATTTTTTTAATTCGTTAATTTTTTACAGAACAATGTTCGCGGAGAGATAAAAGAAGCTGAATTAAATAATCGCGCTGGCAATTACACCGCCCAGGGCCGGCGAAGTAAATTTTTTCTATGTATGGAGTTTCATTTGTTTTTTCATGTATATTCTTTAGATAGAAAAGGATTTATGACATATCAGTATTTAATCAGTTTCTATTCAGAGATAAATTTCAACTACATACTGTATTTTCGTTTTTATCGTCACTTTTGGGTCGCCGAATAACATATCTGTCCATCGCAAAATCCTATTACAGTGATTATATAATCCAGAAAAAGTCTGAACTCTGAAGACTCGGGAATACTAGATTCTGCAACTTAGGGTCTGAGATTCCCGTAACAAAAAATATTTCTTTCAGGACAATTAACAAGATTCCAGTCAAGTCACGCAAAAAAAAGCAAAGTTTTCATTGGATATCGCTCGTCGCCATGATGTGCGTGTATGTATGTGCACGCGCGTGTTCAGTTATGTAAGGTTGAGTACGTGTAGCTTGTGTCATCCGATGTTTCATCACTGAACTATCAGGATACTACGTCTAAATCGGGATTGCATTTATGCATGCACTATGAATGAAGCCTTCCATTCTTGTTCTCACTATTACTTCTGACGAGGTATGGAAATCCATACTTCGTCCATGTATGGAATTCCATTAGCTTAGAAATTTGTATGTATGGAGTGCTCCAGACCGACCCTACTGAAGTCGCCGGCCCTGACACCGCCCATTTGTAATAACATTCATTGATACGCTCACGGTCGTAGAGGGTACGACATTGATCGTGACAATCGTGTATAATCTTTTTACCTCCATCTTGCAACGGCGGCAACTCCTCTTCCATTAATTTTAGATCCGTCGGCTTTGGCTGGTCCACGAAATAATTTACCAGCACGTATTTCCTCGCCTGCACCATTTTGCGTGATAGCGTTGAACACTTTCTGATTCAAGTATTCCTTGGGTTCGATCTTGTCGATGTGATTTCGCTGTTATCGCGAAGGGAACGAGCAATAGCAGTCGTGATGAAGCGACTATGAGTTCTCGACAGCTCACGTCGCACTGCTCCGACCTTTATATTCGCAAGTACATAAATGATCTGAGCGTTCAGGTAAACTTAATTCATCCGGGGAGACGCTATTAACGCTATTTGTGCCATTCTATCTTCATCGTCCATTAGACATGAGACAAGGATAATATTACAAAGGCGCTGATAGCGAGTTTCTCGAAACGCAGCTTTAAAGTAGGGGTAAGGAGATTATACATACAGATAAAGCTCATCAGAATCTGTTAACCAGTAATTTGTTAAGTGTTTAAATTTTTATAACTGATCTACGATATTCTGCTGGATATGCGTTAAAATAAAAATGAATAAAATTATCACGTTAACAGAATGCGATAATTCTATTAGAATTAATTTATCTTAATTATCTTTATTTTCATCGCAACTACAGTAATTAGTTATGTAATATGTTACGTTTGTTATAATAATTATATCATATTTATCGGAGGAAAATTCCTGCTAATCAGAATGCGACTTAAATACATGGAAGTTTGCTGGATAAGATGTAAACGTATACATATAAACAATCTCAACGGATCCTTATCAATTTTGGATCCCGAATTTTCATATAAAAATAAAATATCTCTATCGAGCACATAAATTCTATTTCATATTTACAATAATTCATCCTGGTTATTCTTACAAAATTTAAATGCATGATTATTTATTTAAAAATCATTAAGGATCTTCAGAAATAGATTACAAAATTCAAAACTCATTTTTTTAATCTCTCAGAAATATAGAAAACATTCCAAATGCAGTTGTGAAATTGCAAGCGAACAGGAATACTTATAAGAAGAAATGTTCGCAATGCCTGATGACATTGTGATATCTACACCTGGACGATCGCTTTGCCGATATTCTCGCCATGCAGCATGCCGATGAAAGCATCGAACATGTTCTCGAAGCCTTTAGTTACAGTCTCACGGTAACGAAGCTTGCCCTCGCGTATCCATTGAAGATTCTGCATGATTCCTTCATTCCATCGGTCCAACCAACGTTTAACTATGAATCCTTCCACCTTCAGTTGGTTTGTCAATATAGCAGGTTGCAGAATTGTAGATTTAGGCAAGGACTTGATGTCCGCATTATAGCTCGAGATGCTGCCGCAGATGGCTACCCGACCAAACGGATTCATTTGATACATGACTGTACCAGAGATATCCCCACCGACCTGCAAATTCAATAAGCGTGCAGATTAGATCTCAATTACTAAGCACAGAGAAGAACATAATACTTTTCAGTTTTAAATAGATATTTATGTTAATTCTAGAATTATCAAAGCAAAAGTGTGTGTAATTTTTTAAAGAAAGGGATAAAGAGGAAAGTAAATTGACCGTTTTAATTATTTACGTATTACAAAAAAAGTCACGGAAAATCTTAAAAAAAAACATCCCGTTATTAATTTGAATAATTTTGTAAGTAATTATAAACTAGTAATTATAAGTAGTGAAAATATATACATACACATATACTTATCCCGGTAACAAATTTTTCATACATTAATATGTATAAATATGTATAAATATACATAAATATTCATAAACACGTATAATCATATATGAAATATGTCCATACATATTTATACATCCCTCTTTCTTTTGTAAAATTACTTTTTAATGTAATAGAAATAACAATAATAATGTGAAAACATAAAAAGTAATTAAAAGGATAATTTTCGCATTGTTCGTTTTTACAAAAGAAAGAAGGATGTATGAACATATTATATCCATATAAAATTATGTATGTTTATGAATATTTATGTATATTTATACATATTTATACATATTTGTGCATGAAAAATTTTTTACCAGAAATTAATTATTGGTAGTTGTAGTATTGACAGAATTTGATGTAACATAAAAATTTTTTTAATTACAATACACGAAAAATTCTGATTTAATTACAAAAAAAGGCACAATATCTTATTAATACATACATTGTCGAAGTAGCAATCCACGCCTTGCGGAGCAACTTCGCGTAATCTGGCTGCGACTGGCATGGTTTTGTAATTGATGGCAAAATCGAAACCCATTTCCTCAGTAAGCCACTTACACTTCTCGTCGGAACCGCATATACCGATAACATTTAGGCCCAGATTTTTGGCGATCTGGCCTACGTGTGAGCCGACCGCACCTGCGGCTCCGCTGATGACGATTGTTTCGCCAGACTTCGGTTTACATATCTCCAACAAGCCAAAATATGCTGTATTACTGTAAATAAGAATGACAGAAAGAAGGAGAGAGAGAGAGAGAGAGAGAGAGAGTCGTAAATGTTTATTGTACAGGGTGTCCAGAAATTGAAGGCCAATAAATGATCGCAGCATAAAAATTCGTGAAAAATTGAGTAATAAAAGTGTATGCCATTTTTTTTATAAAATAATTTTTAAGTATAAATGGTTCAAATTATAACCCATCCTAAACGTTGATTAAAATGCCATCCGTATCACACATATGACTGAGGCAATGTTTTGTTTAGTGTCAGTAATTGCAAAGTATTCAACATTTAATATCATTAACACACAGACAGATGACTTTTAGGTATATCTTTATATCATTTCTTCTTTTCTGTTGTTGACATCAGAATAAAAGCTTATATATTTCAAAGAATTTCTATTTCAAGGAACTCCTATTTTAAATGGGAATGATTAATGATTTTATATATTTTCTGTGATTAATGCTAGCCTCGATTTATAATTCATGTAATCTACACACAGTTCAAAGTTTAAATGAAAGTCATCGCTGCTGCAAAAAATATTTTGTTTTGCAACGCGTTTTACATTTTACATATCTTTTCTTCGTGATAAGTGACAAACGAGTTCACGTAAGTGCAAAACGATCGAGTAAATATGTTGATGAAAATATTTACCCCGGCATTCCCAGAACGCCAAGACCAAGGGACGGCGGTAGATCACCTATGTCTGGCAAAAGGTACGGTTTTTGTTTAAAAAACGAATCTTCAGTTTTTGGATCGATAATCGTGTGAGTTCTCCAGCCCAAGTTTCCGATGATTCTCTTGCCGACTGGGAAAGCTGGATTTTTAGATTCTACAATCTTTGCTACCTGACTACCAATCATCGTGATCCCGAGTGGGAAGTTTCGCACGTAAGGTCTCATGTATGGATCAACAGAAAAGAATTCAGCTTCCACGAGATATTCTAAAAGAAAGAAAAAGATATAAATAATATCACAAAATAATTTATTATAATAGATAAACTTAACTTAACTAAGAGCAGAATTGTACCGATTTTATAATTTAATTATATTAATATTAGCTTAATTTCAAAACGAAGAAAAACTGTATATTTTTAATTACGAGACATTTGTCTCGTTTTTATTTTTTAGATGCTAATTATCCTATTCTTTATAATCTATATACTATAGTATTAATGACATGCGCTGATAAAGTGATATTTCAAAATTTAAATTATGGTTTATTTTAACGTAAGTATATTTAAATTTATGATTTTTTACACGACAGAATTATTTATATATTTAAAAAAAAATTTGAAGAAAATAGGAGTCAGAGGCGCGGTAGTCGTTGCGCAAATAATATGATTCTATATGTGACCGATATAACACAAACCTCTTATTAAAAACCGCATTACATGTTTCTTATTTTTGATCTCTCTCTCTCTCTTCAGGTTATATATTTTACATAGATAATTATAATTCAGAATTCTTGGTATTGATTTTATTAAATTTATCCATTATGAAATGAAAATCTCTTACTGGTGCAGCAATCTGTTTACTAATATACAAATTAAAGCTGTATCAATATTTATATGTATATTATTTTTCAAATGCGCTAATGCGAAAAAAGACATAAAATTTACGCCTTTATGTTTTGTTTAATAAAGTATTCATATTATTTCTTTTCGCAATAAAATTATTGTATGAGCGATGATCGTGCAGCAAAATTTATTTCGTCACTGTATTTACTTGATTCTTTTAATCAAAATTTTATCTTATCTTTAAATACAAATATTAAATATCTCACCTATCACCAATACAGTCCAATAACAGTCCAATACAGTCGTATAAATCAATTAATAAAATAGATAATATAATAAAAAATGAAAAAATACTTGTATAAAATCTAATCTTGAGTAAGAAATTATAAAAATTTATACTTCGTAATATATTGATAAAGTTATATAAAGGATTTAAAAGATTTCAATAACAAATACAATTTATAAACAATAGTACAAATTAAGAATTTCCAATTCGTTTCAAATAAATTAATAAATTTCAGTTATAATACAGTTATGTGTATTTGTATATAGAGTGTATAATATATATCTGTAATATCTTATAATTATAAAAATAAGAAATATACATAATTATATGACATATAACAGACAGATATATGCATAATATATAGTTTGCTAACTTTTTAGTCAACTCCAACTAAAAGTAACATTAATGTTATGTTACTTTCTAATGTATTATATTAACTGGGTTATAATAAAAGAATTTTATGTTTTTAATTCATTAATTTTCATCACAAAACAATCTTCGCGGAGAGATACAAGAAGCTGAATTGAATAATTGCGCTTGCTGTAACACCGCCCATTTGTATAATAACATATTTGTTTCGATGACCTCACAGGCACAATGTTGATAACGATATGTAATTTTTTCTACCTTCATTTTGCAATGGCGGCAACTCCTCTTCCACTAATTTTAGGTCCGTTGGCTTTGCTTCGTTCACAAAATAATTCATCACCACGTATTTCCTCGCCTTCACCATCTTGCTTGATTGTGTTGAACACTTTCGGATCCAAGTGCTCCTCGAGTCTGCTCTCGTTGCTGTGATTTCACCGGTATCTCGAAGAGAACGAACAATGATAGTCGTGATGAAACGACACTGGTTCCACGACAGCTGTCGCCGCACTGCTTTGAATATGTTGTCCATGATTGACTTTATATTCGTAACATAAATCGTTTGACACGCGCTTTATCAGGTAGGTTCTAAAATCCTAACTCTTAAAGAAGGGATAAGGAAAAAAGCTAAAAGGTCAGAACCTCGTCTAATGATTTGAGAACCGTGTAAATTATCATACTTTATTAATAGTACTCCGCTAGATAAGCGCTAAGATAAAAATGCTGAACAGAATTATCACATTAACAGAAAATACGATTAAGAATTAATTTATTCAAATTATCTTTATTTTCGTCGTAACTACAGTAATTAGTTATGTAATTAATACACTACTAATAATTATGTCACATTCATCGGAGAAAAATTCCTGCCAATCAGAATAACTTAAACACGTATACATGAAAGTTTAGTGGATAAAATGTATACTATATACAGGGTATTCTAAAATTCGCAACTAAAAATTCTATAACAAGAAAGTTTTCAAAAAATTAAGTAAAAATTTATAAATTTTTATTTTAAGCAATAGTTTGAGATATACAGGGTGTCTCGAATTTAAATGTCTAAACTTCGAGAACGTGTAGAGGATCGATAAACTAAGAAAAAAAGTCCTGCAGAGATATGGAGCCGTCCATGTATTACGTAAGCAAACATTTGACCATTTTTATCTCAAACTTCATTTCATGCTGAAATTTTTATTTTATGCTGATTCATAATTTACATAATTTGCACAAAGATATCAAAGTGCAAATCAACGTTGTAGGAAGCAAGAAGTGTTAATTACTCTTAATAAGTTATACTAATTTGCTAATAAGTTACACGAAACCTCTCAGTTATGCGTGTCAAAAGACTGACAGTATAATTGCCGTATAGTTCATACCTGAAAGATGTATTTAAAATTTACAAAATAATATTAAGCACCAAGATCCTTGGCTATATTTAGCGCTTCTTTACTTATTTATTGATTTATTTATAATTGCTTTTTATCACATTTTTAAATCTTACGCATTCTTTTCGCAAGACACTAAGCGAATACATGGCAGATGTTACAGGGTGATCATGCAAACATATTTGCGAAAATTTTTACCACGTCATCCAAGCAATGAAATAATTGCGCTTGCAATCACATCATTCACACCGTCGATTCCCATACAGCACAGAACTTGCAGCAATAACGCTGCAATATTGCTGCAATATGCAATATTACTGCAATGTTGCAGCATTGTTGCTGCAACTTTTGTGCTGTAGGGGTTTCTGATATGTGTTTATCGACGCGCTTACACATCAATGGTGAGTTGCATGATGTCATGCATGATGTCATGCATGATGTTTATGATTTGTGTAATTTTTTTCTGTCTCTCCATTCATTCTCCACAGTAGCAACTCCTCTTTCTTTAATTTTAAATGTCTGTCTGCTTCGTTTCGTTCACGAAATAATTCACCACCACGTATTTCTTCACCATCTTGCGCAATATTGTGTTAAAAATTTTCAAATTCTAAAGACCTCATTTAAAGTCTTCATCGTGTGATTTGGCAGATTATTGCGAAAAGAACGAGTAATGATAGTCATGATCATGATGCAAGTAAATTACATCTACTTGCATTATGGTCGTGACAAAGCGAAAATGGCTTTCGCTTTATCAATGTCGTGACCCACGACAGCTCGCATTGATTTGAAAGTTTGAACATGTTCTACAATCATCTTTATCATGGTCTTTATATTCGCGCATGAATTATTTGAAACGCGCATGCATGCACTCAGGTATACTTAGGTAGATTTTCCTTTTTAAAAAGAAGGCAAACAGACCGATAAACTTCATCAGAATCTGGTGTTTAGTAACTCAAGAATTAAATAGTTCGAATTATCATATCAACATTATTTGACTAAAATAAAAAAAGATAAAATAAAATAACATATGTAAGATAAAATTGTAAAACGAAAACTTTGTATAGGAGATTATAACATTAATAAGACAATAAAATGTGATTAAGTTAATTTATCTAATCAGTTATTTTTATTTTCGTCGAAATTGCAATAGTTATGTAATACAACGCTACGTATAATTGTACCATATTCATTGGAGAAGAATTCCTGTCAATCAGAGTAATATTTAAACATACATGGAAGTTCGGTGGATCAAATGCACAGTACATGTACATATATAAACGGCCGTGTTCTGTACGGCACGCAATTAAAAGTTACAAACAATCTCAACGGGTTCCTAAAATAATCATATAAAAATAGTAGAACATCTCTATCGAGCACATAATTCACATTTCACGTTTATAATTCATCCTGATTTGTCCTACAAAGTTATATGCACTACGTCAGATCTACCGTGCAATACAAACTCAATTATATACAAACATCGCGAGACTCGCCCCGCTTAACTTCAAAATGGAAGTTGAAAATGGATAGATAGTTTTTTATATACGTGAACGCAAAATCTCTCCGATAGGAAAAAAGAAATTTTTAAGAATTCAATTTCCTATAATAAATTCCCGCCGATTCCTTTTGCAATGACATTGTTGCGGGATAACAAAATCGCGACTCCATAATCCATGTAAAAACATCGATTAACATTCGTGCGGCAATCTAAAACATTTGTACCTAATCTACATGTTCGCCTATTGCGATTTTCTACGGCGAAAATACAGTAACACGACTAATGTCAAATTCGAAGGAAGATTTTTCCACTTTCCGAATTATATCTTCTAATTTCGATTTACATACATTTCATGTCACGCAGTTCATTGTTATTTTTCGTTCACGTCGGGCTACAATCTAGCACGTTCAACGATCAAAGAAAATATGAAAAAATTATTAAATTTTATAGATCGTTTCACTGTAATGCCCAGTATTATACGGTATTAATTTACCGAAGGCGCTTCTCATACATTTTATTGCAGTCTGAAAAAATGATCATTATTTTTACAAAAATTCTGATATTACAAAAAAATGCTCAGTATAATTGATTCGATATGTTACATCAGACATTCGTTCGATAAAGTCGCTATCCTATTACTTCCAATTCTAAATATACAAATCAAACACGTGTTTCTTTGTACCTGTGTTAAAAAATCTATGTTAAAAATCTGTGTTAAAAATTTTAAGTAAAAACATAACGGGTCAGTCTTCTTGTCAGAAGAACGTTAAATATGTTCTCGATTAAAACAGTCTATATTTTATAATGATCTTTAATCGTCCGTTTTATGGCAAATGTTTTTCACAAGGAAATCCATGTGACTATAATTGTTAATAAATAATTCTATTAATTATATAGTCAGTTAAACATTAAGAATTGTTTAAAAATAAAACTTCTGAATCGTGAATTAATGATTTAAATGAGCATGGAAATATCTATATATTATATCATCTATATAACTTATTTTGTGCATATTATATTTGCAGTCGTTTAATATTAAACACCACACTTTTCTTGGAATTAAACTATTACTTGTTCTAGTTCACAATTCATCGAAATAGTGAGATGAAAATATACATCAACATCTTTGTATGTATTACTAAATAAATTAATAATCTCTATATGTGTATCCTAAAATCTACATATATGTATATACAAATTTGAAAGTCTGATATAAAGTTATCTTCTCGGAAAGCATAATTGAAAAATTAGGAACGTTATTATACTAATAAAGAAATTAAAATGGGATGAAGAGAATGTAAGATAAGTATCATTTTATAGTAGCAATTAATTGATCATCCGACATCAATTTTTCCATTCCTTTCACATTATCCTATCCCTTTATGTACGTCGTATAATGTCGCTAATTTCTAATCCTCTTTTTCTAAGTACAGTCGAGTACGATTTTCTAACGGTGAAATATCACTTTATAATTATCACGACGCTAAAACATTATTGTTGTAAACAACAATTAATTCGATTTATCTGATAATTGATAGTTGAGTGAAATCAGTCGCGTTAACACGAGTGAGTTGTATCTACGATAAAATCGTTAATATCGTTAGTCATACGAGGTTTTAATAAATTATTTCTTATTTCTTATCTGCAACAGATATATGATCTGCTTCTAGTTGAAGTTGGAGAAGTCGGTTTTTAATTTGATCGATGGCGCGGATATCTTGATCTGCGGTTTCACGGGATCGACTGGCCGAGTGTGCCGCTGTGCCTGCTGATGACTAGTTCTTACGGCGTTCTCCAACTTCGTTTTCAGCTCGGTGGACTGTGACATCAATGTCTTAAATTCCTAACAATATAAAATAATTATTAGATACTCTCATATTATTCGGGAATAGAAAACATTTTCGAAATATTGTACCTGCGGATACTTTGGCCCGATCTTATTGAGCCATTGAAAACTCTGTTGATGGAGGCTCGCTTGATATTTTGTAGCGCGCTGGAGCTCATCCCCTTCCAGTAGGTAATTGATTAAAATCGGTACGAGTAAAGTCAGCATTTGAATACCTATAGTAATTTTACGAAATATTACACGTATGTTAAAAACTTATTTAAAATGTAAATAATTATTAACTGATTAACATATTAAAAGATTAGATTGAAGACCACACTTTCCACACACCTTGTAACAGATCTCCTGCATAGCGTGTAACACATATTGCATTAACATTTTGTATGAATGTTCCACGAGCGTTAATTTTATGATAAAAGTTTATAAGTTCAACTAAGATAACTTACGATTAGAGAGATCAGCGAGTCCTATGAGAGCTTCTACTGTGCTGATGCACTCCAATGTGAAAGTCAGATCCATGTCGTTTGTCACCTGCTTGCTCTTGTCGCTGTATAGGTATTCTACCAGACGTGGTGCAAGCGCATGGATGTATGGAGTACTTATATTACGTTCCGGATGCAGAAATATCGTTCTTAACGTTTGCACACATTTCAGCTTCACCTGAGTGCAAAATTATTCAAAATTATTTTCAAGATCAATAATTAGAAATAACGTTTCCTTTATCATTAACTCACCGTTAAATTTTCAGACTGGAACGCATGCCGAAAATGATTAATACATGGAAATTGCAGATTTGGAGCACTCACTACTTCCGGTGACGCATGAAGCACGAATACTGCGATGCCTAGCATCATTGCCACCTCATCCATCTTAGTTTCATCATTGCCTATAAAAACAAAATAGATAAAATAAAAATAAATAAAATATATATACATATACAGGGTGTTTCCAAATTAAATGGCAAAACTTCGGGAGCGTGTAGAGGAGTAAAAAACTAAGAAAAAAAGTCCTATAGACATATGCTCGTTTTTGCTCCGTTTCAGAGAAATCGAAAAAAAATGTTTACATTTCTTGCCATATCTAACACCGACATATTTGATTACATTTTCCACTTTCTGTTATGAATTTGTCAGTCGCTCTTTGAAAGCCTTTAACAGTAGATGAATTTTGTCTTTTGCAATATGCCGCGTACGTATTCTAATAGTGAATATGCTGATATGGTTTTTGTATACGGTTTCTGCAACGGTAATGCTTTAAAGGCGGTGCGAGAATATGCACGACGATTTCCAAACAGAAGAGTGCCAAACCGAAGAGTGTTTATGTTGACATTTAATAGATTGCGAGAGACTGGAACATTTTCAATTCGACAAGAAAACAACCGATTTCAAGCAGCGTTACGAAGAGATTTGCAGGCAGGGAATCGTATTTTACAACATTTTGACAATCATCCTGAGACCAGCGTTCGGAATGCGTCGGCTGTATTGGGAGTGTCACCACAAACAATTTGGCGAACTGTAAAAGGAGATAATCGCTAAAATCTTCATTAAAAAGTTTATAAATAAAATAATTAAAATAATAAATTAAATATATTTTTTTCTTTTTTCGTGATTTCCTGCGAAACAAAGCAAAAAGGAGCATATGTCTATAGGACTTTTTTTCTTAGTTTTTTACTCCTCTACACGCTCCCGAAGTTTTGCCATTTAATTTGGAAACACCCTGTATATTAATTTCTTCCATTACTACAATAAATACTTTATATTTCGATAAGGAACATGCGTGCGATATATATTTCATTTTGATTTCTGATATTTTATGAATAAGAGATATGCGTTTATAGTTCCATGTTCCTCCTCTAAAGGATAAAGTTAACATACCTGTTTTGGCCAGATCGATAATCTTGGCAAGCGCGCTTTGTAGTAATCCCGTCCATTGCTCCTGACTCCTGTGATCCCGGGCGTATTTGTTATTAGTGAGACTCTTAACGCAGTGCAACGCAGCGTGAACTGGTGTTTCCGAACCGGATTTGGTGCTATCGTTGTCCGCACGTACCGCGGTTTCGCGTATCACGCCCGTTGCCAGATACAGCAGCGTCGGTAGAATTGCTATTGCGCCTTTAAGAAACGGGACAAATATTAGAAGATTACTAATTAACATTAACGACGTTAATTACATAAGGGTTTTATGAAGATACCTTGCGGAGAGCACAATGTGGGAAGAGACTCCATTATACTGAGAGATGATGCGATTAATTTGCCGCTCTTCTCCGACGACGCATATCCCTTCTGAGATAAAATGGCAGTAGCACCATCGGGATTCGGATTCAGTGCCGGTATCTGCCGCACCAGGAGACACAGACATACTTCCAGAACAGCAAACACTAATGATTTGCCCGGCATGAGCTCACCACTTTCTTCTCCTTCACCCAGTAGATCCAGTTCCAATGTTTCATTGTTTTCTTGATGTGCCGATGCATTATCTTTTACAAAAAGATATACATTTTTATATACATGATAAAAATTTGTGCGATGCAAAAAATTGTCAAAATTATCGAAAATAATTTCGGAGATCGCGTACCTTTGAGTTTCAATTTTTTCCTTGCAGCAAGATCTTCCTGCGCTGCTTTCATCACTTGCTTCAGCACTTCCATTACTATCATTTGGATGATATAACTCTCTCGTGTTAAAAGCGATCTTTAAAGTAACGAACATACCAATATCAGTATTATCTAATAGAAAAATAGATTGTATATTTTCACAAATATATGAAGAACACATACCTATGAAGAACATTACATAATTCGATAGGTAAGGAACGATCCGTGATGAAGACCTTACGTGCCCATATTGAATCAAGTAATGTATATAACGCATTTAAACATGTCTTCATATTTTGCTGGGATTCAACAAATAATTATTATAAAAAAAGAATGTTGCATATTCCTTTAAAACGTTGTTACACATATAAAATAAATTGTGTTGATATTATATATACATACAAGCAGTTTTAATGTTTTATTACATTATTACATACTTACCAAATAACAAGTGAAAACGTTCAACATTTGTGTTAGTTTTAGAAGCAGTAGCTTCATCGTTGTTGTTATTATTGTTACGATTATTATTATTAAGATTCGTCGTTGCTTTCTCCTGATTACTGTTTCCCATTTCAAATCCTCTTGCATTGAGCCAAAGAGTCGCGGCATGGAGGATCGGCGCCCACGATTCTACATAGTGAGGACGCGCAGACTCCATTGTATCTGTCGTGTAAAAGGCACCACCATCATGCGGCAACTGGCTGGAGAATTCTGAGAAAATATCATAACAATAGTTTTAATTATCCGAATAAATAAATCCAAAAAGATACATGCAATATATAAGAAGATATAATAAAAAGTAATATTCTGAATAATTATTTGTTAATATTAACACATTTGCGACATTTTTTTGATAACTGTGGACAGCACGATTATCAATAGTCCCGAAACGCATTAGGTGCGTATTGTAATAAGCTTCAAGTCGTAAGATATGAATCAATCATAGTTAAATGTGAAGAGGACAATCAACTACGATTAGTTGAGATTTTTTACAACTTAAAGCTTAATTGGAAATTTACTGCGTGGTTATGATGACTAGTAGTGGTCACATTAGCAGGTCTTGATGCATAACTAACACGCACAGTATACCATATACACTTTAGGTTACAGAAATATCGCTATCATCCCTTATGTAGGAAATGCTTGACTGAGGATAGTCCAGTAGGATAGAATAATGACCTATACGATGATCACATCGTGAACGTGTTAACATGTAGTCATTATGGTTTTGCAGTGTTACTTCTCTCATTATATTTCTATTATTCAATAATACCTGGCGGCAAAGAAAGTAATGCATGATCTCTCAACGCGGATAGCCAATGTTGACTCAGACTCAGAAGCTCTGGCTGAACGAGGCTCAGCAAACTTTCGCTTTGAAACTCGAATTCTCCAAAATCCTCCTCACTCGCTTCGTCGACTTGATTCGCATTTCGATTAGTCGTATCTTTGCTATTCAATGCGGATCCGTCTCTTATCATTGCAACTACATATACCTGTTAAAAAAATAAAATTTAATTTTCTTTTTCTTACAAATTACAGATATCTTTGTTATATTATTTCTATATTGAACATAAAAAATAATAATGTCAATATACCTCTGCCCATGCTTTTAGGATCGCTAATCTTTCCAACGTTGATAAGCTCTCATTATACAGCTGCGGTCGAGTGTTGCCTTCTCTCAATTTCTCGAGGGATGATACAAGTAATTGATGCACCCTTCGTAGATCATTGAGATCCCTAGCGACGCCGCTGCCGATCCATGCGCTGCAAGCTTCACAAGCTGCAGCTGTAACATGCGACGGTGTTTCCGCGGAAAATGCTGGTCTTAAAGCAGCTCCGACCTTTAAACAGATTTATATTTAATATAATAACCATTATAAAAATAACATAATTGTAAAAATGTGTAGTGGATTGAGCACTCACCTGTGCTTGAAACTGCTCCAGCAATAAGTGCCCAGGAAACTCCGGTTCGGGAACTTTAGCGAATTTATCAATGATCTCTTGCAGAGTTTTGAGACCTTCGAGTCGCAATGGATCACAATCACTCGTTGCAGCCATGAACGCCATACGCACCAAGTCCGATAAATGTAATACCAGAAAATCTCCTGTAAGACCCGAATAAGAGAGTGTATTAAAAATGAAGAAAAATTTGAAGAGACAGCAACGTTAAAACTTCATCAGTCATACCTTTTCCCTTAGATTGTTGCATCTCTTTGGCCAGAGCGAGATCAAAATGAGCCTGCTTGTTATTCATACAAGCTGCGACGATACGTCGGACGCATTGTGCCGCAAAGACTCTCGTTGGCCATCTCGGTGTGATAGACGGTCGCTGTTTAGTGGATTCGTCAGCATGGAACTCAGCCTGATCGTCGTCACCTTCTGCATCTGCTGATTCATTATCAGTGGCGCTATCCTCGGCAAACAAAACAGAATATTTTGTTCAAGGAATTATTCGTCAACCGTTAATTAGAAGAATTTAATTATTACCTGAAGCTATCGTGAGAACGTCTTTGCATAGTGATAACCATTGAGACAAATTGTCGGCCGCTAATATTTGCAACATGCTTGTCAAAGTGTCATGAATGTCTTTGATTAATTTACTATCAGTTTCCGTATCCAACATACTGAATAACACACCCGGGAGACCGGTCTCAGTGATAACGAGACCTTCTACCACATTAGTGTCTCTGCTTTCATTAGCCAGAGTCATCGCATGCTCACATACTTCCTTCGCTTCGCGCTGAGCGAGCTGCCGAAGACAGGATATCGCAGCTTTACGCAGAAGCAAATGATTGCTTGATAAGGTACGCTATAAATAAATAAATAAATATAAGAAATAATGAAGACTTCACAATATCTCTTAGTATTCAGAGGATTCTTACACATAATGTAGGAACGAGGGAAGACAAATTGACGTGTCTGGGTGCAAAAAGATGTAACTGTTGAAGACAGCCGGTTGCTTCGGCTTGAACGAGGGGATCCTGATGATCCTGCATAATGGCACACGCGCATAAAAATGACGACCGTGCCATGCAAATCGTTGAAGTGTTGCCTGTAAAATTAATTGTTCGATTATTTTCCACAAATAGTCATATTTCGCATTTGCTCTATAATTAATTGGATACATTATGTACCTTGCAATTCTGGTCCTATTGTCGTGATAAGCGCTGATAAAACCTTTCCGATGCATTGATGCACATCGATGTAAGAGTGAGGAACATTGAGGAGAAGGGTCAGCGCTAAGGATAGCGTAGGCTCTACATAGCCTCTAAACATTGGTCCACCGGAATCAGCTATCAGAGCCAGAGCATGCAGCGCCCAAACCTTAAAGAAAATTTATTTTATAATTTTTTTTGTCAAAGTTGGTATAAAGATAAACAAAACGAGACAATATATGTGTCAATATTTTACTTGTACTACAGGAGACGAATTATCTTGTGCGAGTGCGAGTAAGATGCTGACGCTAGTGTTGAGATGCTGGCTAGAGCCCATTCCGCCGACATATTTATGAAGGCAGCCTAACGCTAATGAGTGACCGGTTCTGCTGGCCACGTCGCGAGCCGATTTCAACCGATCGAAACTGGTCTGCGCCAATTCCGCTGTGAACTTGGGATCAGAGATCACTTGGGCCATTCTGCCAACCGCTTCTCCAGCCGCCCATCGTAAAATAGGATTACTGCTGATCAGCGTGCTGATAATAAGATTAGTGGCGGATTTCTTGACGTCTTCCTGTCCGAAACCTGTTTTCGCCTCGTTGAGGCCCTTCAAGCCACTCAATACAGCCGTGAACACGTTCATTTGTATTGCCTCCTGCCTTCCGGACTTAGTATGCTTTATACACTCGCTAAAGTGATCCAACATCTGCAGTCTGTGCTTGTTTGCTACACGTGGGAATATCTGGCCGAATAACGCGACCGATAAATCAATCACCGCTACACCCAACGGCAAAGGACCAGGAATCATTTCAAACTGTAATCATATACAAAATTTATATTTAGATTTTTTTCTGTATTTGTATATTCTTGTGTATTCACAGTAATAAGATTTAAAACTAATTTATAGAAATATGAATTTAAAAAAAATTATTTATGTGTCGTATAAAATGATTACTTGAACTTACGTGTGGCATTGGTCTGTAAAGGCAACATGTATTATGTTCCAATGCCCCAGATCCCGCAGCACTATTTGGTTGAAGCTGAAAAATGGTAATTTATAAAGTTTTAATTTAATGAGATTAATAAAGTACAAGTTCCGTAAATTGTAAGAAGTAAAGTTACTTTATATAAGTCCTAAAAAAAATTTATAAATTAATACATATATATATATACACATACTATACATTCTTTACTAAAATAAGTAAGACAATAATATGTCTCAATTTGACATAAATAAAACATTGTGTAATAAGTTATGTGCAATACATAACATATTCGATATATTATATATTCAAACTAAATTTATATAAAATTAAAAAATACTACATATATATATATAATATATACTCGTATATATAATATATACATATATTGACTAATATGTAACTAATTAATAAATAATAATATCATATTAAAATAAAAATGAGACCTAAAAAAATTTGTTAATTTCAGACATAAAATATTATAATTATATATATATAAACATAGGCAGAGAAAAAACAAAATAAAAATGAAAGGCACACTTTAAAGAACACCTTACTCACATGTTCCAAATCTGCCCTTCTGTTTGGTTCCATCTAAACACGAGGGTATTTAAAAGTTAACGCAAAAATTACATTTTATAAAAGTTTAAATTGCAAAAGTATTTATTATTTTTTATATTTGAAATTAGCTAAATATTATATAAAATCTTAATTATCAAATAAAACATGAATTGCAGTTATAAAACAAGTTGCAAAGATTTTAACATACATATATTTTAGTTATTAAATCATAATGTTTTGTTACCAGAATTAGAAAAAGAGTATAAGTTGTGCATACATAAAATATGTGCGTGCAGTATTAGAATTAGTTTGCCGAAAATCATTTTTAAGACATTTTAAGTAATGCTTCCATAAATTTTTAATTCTTGAACAAGATCAAACAAACAATAACTTAACCAAACATTAGCCAAGATGTTATATGTAGAAATAGAAACCGTATTGTAATGTGGAATATAAAAATTCAAACTCACTTGGTCTTCTATTGTGCGATGATCGGTCTCCTGTAGCCATGTACCAAGAATTACAGAATCGTTAGCATGGCAAACCACACTTAATAAGGAAGTAGTCGTGTTTCCAGGATTATCCGTAAGTGTGAACTCCGACACCAACATTCTCAAAAGGTGTGTGTAAGAACCTATGTTATCATATAATAATGTAAGTAAATTGCAAACTAAAAAATAAAATAGAAATAGATTTTATAGTATTATTATTTATAGATTTTATACCTTCGAACATTTGCGGTGGCAATAGCAACAACGTTTCATATAAGCGTAAACGAACCATAGCTGCAGGAGCTTTCAATTGCTGGCCATAATTCTTTAAAACAGGAGACAAACTGAAAAAATATACCCCAGTTATAGGATGCTACAAATATTTCTTTGCCGCGTTATATAAAAAGTATATCAATATTTAATACTTTGTCAGCATCGCTAGAGCGGATTCGATCGGCGTGAGTAATCGCCGTGTAATATCATCGTTCAGAAGTTCCGGGCAATGCAACAGGAAACTGTACATAGCGGACAATGCGCCGGCACGTCCTTCCAAAGTCACTTGCCACGTGAAAGCATCGCCGCGAGCTTTTTCACTCTCAAGTTCTTTGTTCGAACGTGGGAAAGAGAAAGAGTTTCTCCATAGAAGTAACATTCTCGGTAATAAGCCTTTTACTACTGCTGTACCTGTATGCATATAAATTATATGTGCATATATACGGCTTACGCTTAAATTATTACTCATTATTAAATAAAAAAACATTTATACCTAGAGTCATAATCGCTCCTATCAAAAGCCATCCTGCATGCGTGCGATTTAAAGACAAACGACTGTTCTGACTCGCGCTTCTCAGGAGTTCTTCCGCTGTATTGAAAATTATCTGAAAATAGGAAGCTCGATAATTAATCCCGCGTGATTGGTATATAAAGTAGGGCATAATGCATAAGAGCAAATATACCTTTCCCTTAGTATGAGGGACCCCCAAAGGTGACAAACGAACACTTCCTAGCACCGCAGCAAGAGCACTACTGTAACCGGCTATAGCTTCCGGTGAGCTACGCATATTCTCAATCCCGTCAACACAGCGATCGATCAAGGGTGTTATTTGACTTGGTACTGCCACACATATGCATCGTAAACACCAGGAAGCCGCCAGTCTAGCCGCTTGACACGGATGCACCAGAACAGCCATTATGGCATCGATCAGACCTGTGATAAATACATAATTAACTACACCGTTCAGACTATTTCTATATTGAAGAAACAAAAAATATTTTGCATGCGTAAATACATACTTAGAGATTGATCGGAGAGCAAATTCGTAGCTGTGGTACCTAATCCTAATATCAGATTGCCCATTTCTTGTAATGCACACACCAATAAATGCTGACTGAATAACGTTTCTTGATTGCAATCTTTGGCGTTTTCCGGACTGAAATCTAATAAAGCCATAATGAGATTATGTACGACTCCACGTTATATTAAAGTGTGAAAAGTTATTCTTACCGATGGAATTCATTTGCTTCAGAATAATATGCGCTATCTCTTTACAAGCAGCTGCTTGAGCTCCTTCTCCTAATAATTTGCCGATGGTACCGCGTAAAATGAAATTCACGCATTTACGCGAGTATACCGCCTCAACGTGAGAACTAGCGGCTTTCGGATTTGTAACCAGGTCTAAAACGTGCGCAATTAATGCTCCGATATTTCGTTCCAGCCAGGTACCGCCCAACATTTGAACAAATATCACGTATGCCTGTAATAGCAATCATCAAATGTCTATGAGATGTTTTATCATGGAAAAATATACTCCGCAATAAAGTTAAAGGCTTTTTGACTCGATAGGAAAAATGCAAATTATGTCCTGCTTTGTTTTCTTGAAAAATAACAATATTTTTTGCACAATTATATAAATTTGTAAATTTTAAGTGTATTTTAAGATATATAAATATATATATATATATATATAATAGCTTACATGTGTCACCCCAACTCGCACTTCTCTATTTATGCTGGAGCTTCCTTTTATGATCTCACCGGTTCCTTTTAAGAAACCAACACCACCTCTTAAAAATCCAGACATCAGGATATTTAACACCTCTTCAAGTGAAGCTTGCTTAACACCTTTGTTGTGTACAACTATGTAATACATTAGAATAAGATTTGGATAAATAAAATAAGAAATGCCTAAATTTGGACACATATTTTCATAATATATTTTTGCTTAAATACCTGTGGGATTTTTTATTTTGGGTGAAGGAAGTTGCGTCATTGCCACTAAGGTGCCCAGTAATTTAGCAACGGAGCATCTCACTTCGTAATTTGAACCTTCGAATGCCCGAAAGCAAAGTGTTGCAACACTTTCGATTTCAGTTGTATATAAAAACGGAGCGTGATTCAACATTTCCAACAAACACTGTGAAAACAAATTATGGTAAGTATAGAAAAATGAAGCACATAATCAACATTTCTTTCATAAATATAAGTACCTTTGCAGCAGCACATCTTACTGCCATCACTCTGTCGGTCAGGTAATGCCTGGAAACTTTATATATCTCCTTATGCACATTGGTTATCGCGGATCCCATTCCAGCACACACCTAATTATAGGACAAATATATGTTAAATTATAAACATATTTCATCTAGATAGTTACAAAAATTTTTAACAATACTGTCACCTTTTCTAACGTATGCATAATTTCTATTCGTGTCTGTGATTCAGCAGAACGTAAAGACTTTATTAGGATCTGTACAGTCTCCTCATATGATCTGCCCATCATTCTTCCCAGTTTCTCATACATGCATCCCACGCAGCAAATAGCAGCTCTAAATAAATAATATGTATATATATACATATTGCAGAATTATTTTAATTTGTTACTAACAAAATTAACAATATTCACAGTTTTGTGGGTAGAAAACTTGGTGAATCATCCTTATTCCTCAAGATATCATTGCATTTGTTGACAGTATCAAACAGAGTGTCGCCCACACTGAACAAAGTTGCTAGGCATCTTGCAATGAGACGTCTGGTTGGTGGTCCAGGTGCTCCTTGCATATGCCTCGTCAATTGCTCCACTAACTTTTGCTGACATCCTTTAATATCACTCTGCGAATAAGATTTAGCACAATTAAAAATTTATCATAGGTATTATTAAATAATTTCAATCATATCTCCCATTAGTAATAAATTGGATAGCCCCATCGATGTTAAACTTTTTTAAACTGATACCTTTTGAGCAGCGACCAAAACTTTATCTAGAAAGCGTAACCATTCAAAGATGAAAACTGGTCGCTTAGCCTCAGGGATTTGATTAAGAGCATCCTCATTGAGGGTCAGACTATGACTCAACTCCATCATTGTTTTAAATAAATGCACGCACGGACAGGTTGGTCTCAAATATCGGTCACTCAATTTCCTCCTACAATGCAATCACATTAAATTCTCTACCATTTTACAATTACTGGCTGAAGATATACAGACTCGAGATTTAAAATTAAGAAAAAATGTATTATATATTAGGATGTCAGCGTATTGAAGGTGTGTTTTTCATTATCGCGTTTTGGAGTCGTACGGATATATGTATGGTGGCGAGAATACGATAAGATGCGATTAGAACAGTGTTTAACTGATGTTTACGCACCGCAGGAAATAGCGGTCTAGGTGTCATCACTCGGAGGGCAAAGATATTTTCATGGCACTGGGTGTTCTATCTCTCGTGGGATGTCACTTCGTCACTTTAGCACTTACACAGATTAATCGCGTCCCAATGACAGCATCGTTATCAGTGTCGTCGTTGTTTTCCACGAAACTCCGAATTCTCACAACGACGAATGATGCGTATGGATGACAAATTTTGACGTAAAGTTAGGACAGTTCAGACTGGGTCACTCCAGCCACGTTTGGTGGCGCATTGTTGCCACGAGAATGTCGCCAGAGAGAAACCTGATAAGGCAATGCCGACCTTTTTCCTATTACCGTCGAAATCCGTATATTATCGCCAGTAAATCCATTTTCGGTTTGGGAACTACGCGACTACATTCATTTTCTGGTCCTGTCAATAAAATCGTAACACAGAGAATTACGTCAAAACTGCAGACGGGCGATTTCGATAGTAATAGGAAAAAGTTAAATTGTTTTAAAAAATATATAATATAAATTATAATTTGTGGATTACTTAAACATTTTACAAATATAAAAATACACATATTATTTATAAAGTTCTATATAATAATATTTTTCAAATCAAGATATTAATTAATAACAATTATTAAGCTGATGACGTTATTTGTCGTCTTTTGATGTCAAAATGATGTCTTTAATATTTTTGATTTCAAAATTAATTACGACAAATAACGTGAATTTGCTGAAAAAAAAGAGGACCGTTGATTATAATCGATGGGAGTGGTGGAGGGCCTCTCAAAAATAAAAAAAAAAGACATTGATTTATTATCCGCCAAAAATAGCAATGGTTATATAGTTGTATGTGCACGCTTTGTACACATCGTAACCCAGTAAGCAAGAAACATTTTGGAACATTTCAACAACGTTGCAGCAACGTTGTAACATTGCTACAACGTTGCTGAAATGTTCCAAAATGTTTCTTGCTTACTGGGAAGAAGCGTCAATAAACGGATTATTATCAGAGAGAAATCTGAGAAGGGCCATTCCGGCGTTTTTCGAGATTAAATGGGTTGAAATTAAATTAGCAACATTTTTTTAGAACATAATGTATCTTTTAAAGCTGCGGGTTACTTTATTCTACTGTTGAAATATATACATATTTTATTGAATAGTTAAATAATACTTATTCTCTTTTCATGATTTCTGATAAAATATCATAAAATTTGTGTGAAAAAGTTTAAGATATTTTTTCAGAAATTACAGAATGAGAAATCTTACAATTATACAAATCTTAAAATGTTTTATAAAATAATTCATATATAATATGAAAGATTTTTTTAATTTTTCTGGAATGCTTAAATTCGTATTAAAAAATTCTGAGAAAAATTTTCACAAGGGATAAGTTTAAATTAGAAAATAAATAATAGGAGTTTTGTTAAAATCGCTCTTTATAAGTATTTCTCGCAGATTATAATTATTAATATTTGTAATTGTTTTAATTTAATATAATTATTAAAATATTAATTTAATAATTCATTATTAATAGAATACGTTAAATTCCTCTCGAAGGTAATAAGTAAAATCGAAGGAAATTGATTAAATATATCGCATTGCGATGGAAAATATGAGGTATGGTCAATGCGATACTCTACAAATGCTTTAAAACGTTTTTTGACGATTTGTAAAATTCTTCCTTCTTATTGGCCAATCAAAAAAATGTTTTAAAGCATTTGTAGTGAGAATTTGACCGCAGCTATGAGGTTTGTTCTTTTTAACTGAACTTTTGCACCAGTTCATCTGTCTTCCTTTTCTCTCTAGGAGGAAAGAAGAGGTAGAAAAATGAACTAGTGCAAAAGTTCAACTAAAAAGTACAGGTTTATGATCTCGTTGTACAGTTCGCATAATTAATGCCTTCCATCCATGTTTTGACGCGCGTTACCTTCTCGGTTATTTTCACGTTTATAGTCGTAGTCAGACGGAATTATCGACAATACGCGAGTTTCTTCAATCTCTATTGGCTAGTCTGGTTTCTCCGACTACGGCCATGAACGTGAAAACAACCTAGAAGATAAACGCGATGTCTCACCAATGGACGTAATGTCATAGGCTGGGAAGGCATTAATTGCGCGAACTGTACATAAAGGTTGCGTTCCACTTAAAGCCCGTATCAGACTACCGACTCTGCAAGCCGACCCGACCGCCAACTCTGATTGCCGATCAATAATGGACCAATCACAATAAGACTGATTCAATGTGATTGGTCCATTATTGGTCAACAGCCAGAGTTGGCAGTCGGGTCGGCTTGC